CGATTAACGTAAGACCAATATTAAGAGAGGAGGGCGTCGCCGTTAAACAAGATTTAACGTCATATTAAAGTTTGTGTATGTTCAACTGCAATTCAATTACATTGGTTTAGCCTAGCTTGGAGACTATAAACGCCTTGAAATTTACTCGGGGAATTATGACCAAGTTGGAACTTGGCTTTGTCAGCTGTGCATTATGGCCAAGTCGGAGCTTGGGGTTTAGTCCGTCATGCGTTTATCATTCTAGAATTCCGATGAGTAAAAATTTTCTAAATGCCAATTTTTGCCAATTGTTTTCTTTTTACCAGTCACAATTAAGGTTATGGGAAAGGGGGGGAAGCTCAAATGCTAAATATGGCGTATGGGGCAAGAATTTACCACTAATATAGTTGGTTGGGGTAAAAGCTGAGTGTTATTATCGCTTACAAAGGGGTTTGTCAGAGCTTCTGTTCTATCCCCGTATTTACTATGTGTATTGGTCGATCAGTTATAATTAGCACGAGTGATTCGGTGCTAGTACCGTTCCGCATTCACAATACGATCGATTTAACCCCCGTTTATGCTAATCAGCCAATCATTAGCGTCGAATTGATTGCAGTCTTTTATTATACTCTTTCTTATCCATTGCTGTTCTTGAAACCTCGATACAAAGAAATCATCTTCCTCTTTGCTCGCTCCCGCTTTGGACTAGTTATTATTACAGCTAAATGAACTGATGTATCGCATAATAATACGACAGAAACTATAAATTTAAATAATTGGTTTACATACGTCCATGTATTTGTAACAAATATTGTTACCTGAAACATTACATGTAAAACTTTCTGTTAATTAAATGATATCTCCAGCTTTGGTTTCACGATATTCGTTTCTACCACTAGACACAAAGAATCATGTAACGTCTGCTCCAAAATTGGCCATATGTGTTCGTACAACGCATTGCTATTATAAACACACACCACTAATAACTTTGCCTCTGCAAATTACCGAATTTGTATTATCTAAAAGAAATTAAGTTCAGAGCTTGTTTATCGATTCAAATTGACCAAGGCTACAAAATGTTTAAAAAAGAAACCTTGGAAATTTCTACTAATATCAATATTAATATTGACACTCTTACACTACTATGTCACAACGCTCACACTGTTTACGACTTTTGAGATTGGGCTGTAACCAAAGTTTATTCTTACAGAGCAAACGTTTTTGAATAACAATACATTTGGAATTAAAAATTTCGCAATTACAAACATGGCAAACGAATATGCGTTTTTTTGTGCAAATCGCTGTTGTGTCAGTAGAATTATGTTATAAAGGGAATAATACTTTGTAACTTATATGCAATGCTGTGTCAATATCCAATAATAGAATGTACGGTATTTGTTTGTTAATTCACAACCAAATTGTCGCTCGGCAGGTTCATTATTTACAATTGTTCCTCGTAGAAATTCATAGGGCAACGAGAGAATAAAAGATTGCTTTATTGCCATAAATATTTATTTTGAAGGGGAAATTCCGAATATGCTACCATTTAAGCCACTTGGCAGGCTCAATATAGGAATTACTTATCAGCCACACGTGATTGTTAAAAATAATAATTGGCTTAAATAAGCAAGATGGGATAATTAATTTAAATTTAAAACTTTGAATTATCCACCTCCGGGTTACACGTGAAACACAGCAATTATATGACTAACTTGCAAGAACAATCGTTGAGTTGCCATCTTATTATTTGAAATGGCTTTGTATTATCTTGCGGTAGTATTATGCTCATGTCTTATTCCCACACTTGTTTGATCATATGATATGAATGCCATACTAAACGTACCGTCGAACATCAATAAAGAAAAACTATGGTTTATCATAAAGGTATTCTCTTATAGAGTTTATTCATTTTCAACAAGTCAGATTTGTCCCGTGATAAAATGTTCTTTTAGATTGTTCCTTTATAAAGCTTTTTTTATGGAGGTTCGACTGTATTATATACCGTCTCTGATTTGCGTCAGCCAATTCCATTGCTGTCAGCAAGTCATTCTAATCCGATTGTTTTGACGTCACATACGATCAGCTATAGTCTTCCGATACAAAGTTTATGATTACAGAAATTAATACAGTTGTTCTTGCTAGCTTGATATAAACTCTCTTTGTTTAAATGGTACGCGCCCGAGCTTTCTTTGCACACTACAAAGACAGTATCCGTGTATAGATAAGACCATATTACAACTGGGAATAATTCACACTGCTTTACAGGATAGCTCTAATGGCGTCGGGCCGAGAATTTAAAGCTTTATTCATAAAACACCCGCGTTACGATAATTGGACTATTTGTTGATTTTTGGTAATTGAGACTTTACATCGTTATGGAAAGATGAAATTTATACCCAAATAAACCAGTTCTCAACATGTTGAAATCTACTTTACAAGTTATGTTGGCTCGCCACGAAACTTTCATTTGCTTTCATGTATTCTACTTGTGATTTTAGTTAGCTGTATCACCTACTATATAATTAAATTACACGAAATTCTATATTAATCAAAACCATTTTTCATGAACGTGATTTCCTCGGAATCCCATATTTACGAATCACAGAATGATATACGTCCGTAGTTAATTGCGAGACCCCAACATTCAAACGACACGTTTGCCGCCATGTGCGATATTTTAACCGTATGTGACTAATTAATGTTTTGTGATTATTCTCATATGTATTAACTACATGTAAGGATTTAATCTACGCTTGCGGGCCACATGGACAATCGGCAAGATTAAAAACGGGACTTACCGTGACAAAATGACTAGCCGTCTTATTGACAGATTTGTCTTACCATTGAGTTGATTTATCAAATTAATATCTTTGTTTTTGGATTACATTGTTAAGTAAATGAGCTTGGCCTTAACTGGCTTTTCAGTTTCGGCGAAAAAGGAAAAGAGCGAAAAAAAAAAAAAAAATAAAATTTACTTCATTATTAAACAATCTCAATCCATCGGTTTTCACAAACGGTGTTTCAAGGCTTGATTTTGTCCATCTTTTTCACAAATGAAGCGTTAATTGATGCCATCGTTTGCGGAACGCATCAGATTTTAACTCGACAAGCTAAATGTATGATATCGTTATATGGTAATTCTTACGTGAGTCATGTAGGTGTTCGGGACCTGTCTCAGTTCAGGATCCAATCACTCGGACGAGAATTGAGACAGGTCTTTAAATGAGATACAACATAGACATTTAAACCGTTTCTGAATTGTCTTTTATATAGAAAAAGAAAAGCAACTGTCCGCTAACATCAAAACGCAACAATCCTCTAATATAGGTTGAAGGAATTACACTGTAAAATACTGGTTTCATATGTCACCTAACTCTATAACAATTATACACGTATTAGTATGCAAAATTGTTAAAACTTGAATTCTTGAGTCAACTGATTGTCTTACAATAAAAGTGGTAAACAGTCTCAAGCTTTAAAGTCAACCATCTGTTAAAAATATGAATTTTTGACAAGTAATGTCTTATGACATGTATGAGTTTTATTCTTATATGGCAATCAAGATTGTTGACTTGAGCAAACATAAACTTTATATTTACTGTATTCTGTGCTAGCGTGTCTGATCTGTTTGATTACTAACATTCGTCATCAAGACGTTAAATATTCAAGAAACAAGCGGTTTTTTTCATCCACTTGTTGATTGTTTCTTTCCACGAGTGTTGATTCAATAATTATAAAATTAAGTTTGTTTGCATCTCAGTTTGGGATTATTTCAGTCTAGAACTCTGTCGTCATTCCAGGCCCCAAACTGAAATACATCATTTACATAGTAATACTTGGTATTTCGTTTAAGACTCTGGAAGAAAAAAATAAATAGAATCAACGTACCTACTATTTTTCTTGGAATACGCGTAAAATAAACAATATGTTATCATAGTTTTAATTATATTAGTATAACCGGGTATGTTTCACTTTTTGTTACTTTTCTGGGGAAAATGCTTACACGCACTTGATTACCCGCTTAACCGACGCTAAGACATCATCGATAATTTTAAATTAGTAAGCTTATACGAATATTGACTAATTATTCGACGCTTTAACTCTATTCATCATCTCGCTTATAGTTTGCACTATTGAATTGATAATATTTGCCAAAATTGTAATTGTATTACCATTGCGCAACAACATGTTTACGGGAATAAGAACAGTTGCCATGCTTGCCGCACTTAATGGGAGACAGAACACAAACAAGCCTCTCTCTTGTTAACAATAAGGATTGCAGTTATTGTTCAACTCATTGAAAACGGCACTAGGCGAGCAATAGTAATACAAATAGCAATGATTTGGACGCTATTCTAAAATTCATTTGCTGCAGCACAGACCACTTGCCAAAAGTTGAATAACATATCATGCTTACGTCATTATGAAAGTTGTTCATGATTACGGAAAATAGTCAGATCAGTCAGATCACGTTATTTCATACCTTGCTTCTGATGAAATATACAGCGTTGCATTCTAAACAAGGTTTGTTTGTATAAAACAATATTAATACGCGCGCTAGCTTCGTTGGCGCGTATATGACCAAAATTAGACTATTTTTATTATTCCCACGCATACAAGTAAATCTGTTGCCTGGAAAACTTACATTCTTTTCCCTCCCTTCCCGACAAACGAGATGTCCACATGGTGCGTATAATTTTGATCAATTTAGTCATCCCACATCTTTGTTTGTGGGATCGACAAATTATCTGTGATGCAATAGGTACACAGGTCATGCACCACTCACTTTACATGAATGCTAAATAACCGAAAACTCGCTTCTATTATCAAACCTTGTTTAAAGCGTTCGGCTGAAAAAAGCCATACAAAAAGACCCCAACTTCTTCCCTCTCTTTTATTTCTTTTCAAAAAGTTTAAAAAAATTTTTTGTTTGTTTTCTTTCTTTTTTTATTTTCCAAAACTCGTAACCACAAACTAATATTGTGCGGGGGGGTTTTTTTGTTTACCGCGAATAAAAGAACATGCTGGCTTCACTGATTACTCTACCTATAGAAATACTGTATTTGATAGTATTTAATATAGATAATCCGAAAGATCTCCGTGCGTTTTCGTCCACATGTGCTTTCTTTCGCAAGATATCAGGCCCACACACATTAACGGCTCAACTCTGGTTTTCACTATATAGCCAAGACCTACCATCCGAACATCATCTTCGCACAGCTAACGAATGGCGATTTCCATTAGAGACTGAATATGCAAAACGTCTAATCACTGTCAACGCACCGCCCGAACCAGCCGGGCTTTCTTCTGAAGCTCCGGGCCCGCGTCGGGCTCTTCGTCGACAAGAACGTGTTTTGCACATTGTCGAGAGATTCGGTCTGTTTCTACACAACATGTTGGCTGTCAACTATTACTATCCGCATGACTGGGATGCTCTTCGAGCAGTAGCCGATGAAGTCGAACAGTATTTGGAGGATCTAGGTTGGGTGCAATTTTATCGAGGTCAAATGCGTGGGATAGATTCTCTTATGGTGTCGACCGTACAGACCGATCAGGAATTTGAGGCTGTCGCATTCGAAGACTTTTCCGGAAAGCTACGTGCTGAGATAGCCGGTGCTTCCAGTATTCCCGCATCGAGTAAGAGCACATCTGCTGCAAGTAGTCGTCATAACTCTACAACTGGTGGTTTTGCTTCTAATCGAAACAGCACCGGTGACCTCTTTGCAAGTCTTACCAGTGAGAGAATGTACCTAAGATGGACAAGCTTGATTCAGGACCAGCTAAACTTTTTCGGATTGGAGAGATACATATTGGAAAAGTTTAAACCACCAGACAAGTTGCAGTTGGCTGAATACTTGCGTGTAGTTTTGTTTGGTGATATCGATAGCGATTCCAACAACGTTGATGTCACTCCCAACAACAACGGTATCCTTGCCAATAATAATAGCATCATTCCCAATACCATTGCCAACACTGATGTCCCTTCCAGTAGCAACCGTATCGCTTCCAATATCACTAGCAATATACCATATGTCCCTCCCAGTAGTACTGGTCTTACTTCAAATAACATTAATATCGCCTCGTGAATCGACGTTTGAGCCAAACGGCAAGACTAATGAGATTGATGGAACGGAAACTTATTGCCTGGATCGGGAAGGACAATGTTTAAAAAAAACGAGAAATCTTTTCTTTACCAATCTTTTTCTTTCTTTCTTTTTCTTTTTCTTCTTTTTTTTTGGAAAGAGGTGTTAATGATGAAATTTTGAGATCATAAACAATTGATGGGGTGTCTCAGAATATCGATGGGGGAGAGAGTACTTGTTTAATTTGTGTTAATTCGAGAATAGCAGATTAATTTGAACGAAAAAATACGCCAATGAGTGATGAATAATATGGGGGTTATTTATTTATACAATTTCTGCTGATAATTTCATCGTCATTTTTCAACCCCTCCTTTTTATCCAAAAAAGTCCTTCCCACTTATAATTGTCCAAGACGAAGGCAGACACCAATTTCTAAATTCAATGTACATAGTTCCTTGCATTTTTATAACCCCGCACTAACTTTGTTTTTTTAAACCGCTTTAATGTCTATACATACACAGTTTTCTCCCTGAGCGACAATCATTTTACTAATTCTATATAACATTTTTGGATTAGAGAAAAAATCTCTAAACGTAATAAAGTGTCTGATATATATCAGCCATATTAAAAAAAGTTCAAAAACGAGTGTAACTCAACAACAGCGTAATCGATAATGGTGATAGTCAAGTGCCGCGGCTCATATTGACGGATGACTCTAATCGATCTCGCTACTCCCGCGAGAACTTTTGTCGTTTCCATTCTCTAAAATCACAATTACTGCTGTTCGCGATATCATTACTGGTTAACCTCCTGGTATATCGATATGGCTTTTGAGCGAATCTGGACTTTTGCACACCATCTAGGGAAACCACTGGAATCATCGATGGTCTAATGAAGTTGCAAACAGTTAACGACACTTGCAGTTTTTACTGAAAACGGCCGAGTGAATAAAGTCACTCACCTTCCATGAGCACACTGAAACGGAAATATACATTCAGCAAGCTTTGATACCAATTCAATACAAGTCTCGCGGGATAACTTGTCATTAAACTTTATGGCACCTTCAAAATATACGTCGTTAGCAATCGAAAGCAAAAGCAACCCCCGCGAACACCCCCCTTTCTCGAACACCCCCCCCTTCCCTTTACAAATACTACCTCTGCATGCTTTCGAATTAATAATGTCCAATATTCCTCTTGGACATTTTCTTATCATGTTTGGCCATTCTTCTTCATTCTCTGTGTATCCGCCGTCATCGTCCACGCTTACTCCAATTCCACCAGTATCCTCTAGCCAATATAAATGTTGTCTTATGATTTCTTGTAGAACGCGCGAATCAGCTACACATTTATCCGCTATCATACGAGGCAGATGTGTAACATGTTCCGTGACATGATCATTGAACCTGGAGAAATGTGGCGATGAGTCTAATTCTGCTGTAGATTTAGTGTCAGGTGCCTGTAAAGTGGATTGCGAGGCAAAGTATATTCCCCATTTGTTGAATTGATCTATAAACCGTTGAGCCGCTAGAGCTTCGCGTGTCGACAGAGAAACCTTGATCGGCGGATTGAGATTTATGGTTTCAACTATGGATATGCGAGGACGAGAGTCGGTGACCTCTGCCTGGTCCGAATCATACTCACAAAATTCTTTCAACAACATCTCGACTCTTATTCTCTCATCTGCTGCATGTTGATCGACGAGTATTAGGGTGGATGAGCCATTGCTGCTCGTGTGTGTATCACTGCATTGCAATTTACATGCGATAAACTTGTCATCTACCTGGCCTATTACTTTGGCCGATTTTAGATCTTGCTTTGTGAATCGATATTTAGATATATCCATCGTTGCTGATGCACTCCAAGAGAATAAATTTCGATTTGTCATTTTTCTCATGTTGGCACCAGGTGGCATTAAATGAGGTATCGGCGTTTCAGACGTGTTGATATTTGAGCCTGCCCATTTCTGTTAAGAACAAGTTAATATTACATTACCGAACGCAACAGTATGTAAAGGACTTGGGTTACCTTAAATGCGTCATGGGCCCATAAATTTAGATTCGAGTTATTTTTACAATTTGCCGACGTTCGCAGACGACTCTTATCAACGCGTCCTCTGGTCGATACGGGCATGGCGTTGTTCTCAGTCTCATCGTTGTAACACGGTATCGTCTTGTACCTTCAAAAACCAGTCGTAAGTTTTCTATTCGGTTACTACAATCTTTATACCCAAAACCGCATTCTTACGAGTTTCCCGTCCTCTTGTCAACATAGAAGCTTTCTTTCGTAATTGGATCAGTCCACTTGGAATATTCATTCATTTCCGTACGTACAGACTCTGGTGCATCGACTGTAGACGCTCTGAATTCCACAGACGCAGGTGCAGGTGCCGATGCTTGCCGTGGCTGTACACGTGGTAACGGTGCGGATATCATTGACAATTCACATGAGTCGCCGCCGCTCCTCAATTCTTTATCATTAAATAAACGTTCTTTCATACCACTGCATTTAATATGCAACAATTCATCAAATCTCAATCTAGAACAAGTGTCATTTCTCACAACTGCGTCTTCACAAACGTTGTCATCGTCATATGAATTTGAATGTTCCGCAAATTTGTATTTTATGAGAAAATCAGTGATCAGAGATGAGATCAGTTTCAATAGCTTTCCCCAGTTTTGAAATTCCACGATATTTTTTGCAGGATCCAAGCAAATGTCGTACTCGGTCGCAGCACAAGTAAGTTGCAGTAGATACACAGGACATTTCCCCATCGACTTTCTCTGCCTCTGATCAGATGATATTTCCATGCTGGAGATCAAGTCCAAAGTGTCATTGACTCGGTTGGGAAAGCTACTCTGAGCAAACAACTCGTCGATAGTTCTGTGAATGTCATTATAGGCAATGAGACGATTATTAACAAAAAAGTACTGGTGTTGACGCGAAGGTAGGCCTCTCGTTGAAATAAAACCTTTTATAACAAAATCATTCTCTTCTTCGGACACAGATTCCAGATGTTGGGAAAGCGAAACTCCAAAGAGCTGTCTAAATGTTGAGATGGACGAATTCGTCTTGCGTGTCATTACTATCTTTGCATCGCGAGATGTGTCTATCAAAGTGAAGATAATGTTGGGATAAATGAGGGCAATCGTCTCCACTGCTCGCTTCACGCTATCAATCTCATTAGCAAATGATGCTGGTGTCTGTGCTTGCTGCCGTCGACGAACTGGGTACTAAACGTAGAACGACAAGTAAGATATCATGGGAGCCGTGAGAGAACACATTAAACACGGTTTTGCGTTTTCGGCAAACACTTACGCGATAGAACAAATCTCGTACTATAATCGTAGTTCCACTGCTTCTTCGATTATTATATCTTGTAGGGCCATATTGAATAAGTTGCCCACCCTTTATTGTTTTCGAGTACGTGTCGTAGCAACCAGAATGTTTGCTTATTATCTCAACTACAGCCTCCTCTGCTATGCTGGCCAGTGCTTCTCCTCGAAAACCATAAGTGTTTACTTTCTGCAGTTCGTCCAGTGTGTGACACTTTGACGTGGCATAGCGCTGTCCGACTTTTTTTAGGTCTTCTGGTGACATTCCAGTACCGTTGTCAATTATTTGCACGTAATATGTAGAGACATCTACGCGTATTTCAATTGTAGTTGCAGAGGCATCGATGCCTGCAGAAAAATTAGGATTAGTAGAATGAGCGGTATTGAGAAAAGCTGAAAGAACAACCAAGACAATATTGAAAACTTACTATTTTGAACGAGTTCGAGTACACACTGTGCTATCGATGTGATTACAAGTGATGCACGCAGCCTGCGTATAACAGTTTCATTTAATTTTCGAATGGTCATGTTTTTGTACACTTTGGGTAGCGTCTTGGCACAACAAACGTGCAAACACGTTGGTTGACGCATGATTGTGATGGATCAAGCCACATGACTCTTCCTTATACTAAAGAAAGATTCCATAAGAATTTATGAATAACTAAATACGTCATAGCACGGCTGTCTTGATAACGCTATGTCTTGATTGTTTCGTCTTTGGAAATATTATCGTTTTCCTTGCGGAACCTAATCCCCAATAATAGCATGTTTATCATTATTCCTGTATGCGTGCAGACTCAGAATGTAGAAGAGAGAAGTAATTCACTCCTGCTATTTTACTGAGAGACGACCTTAAAACGTCACACTTTTATTTGGCGTGGTTTGCTTTGTTGTTAAAATAAATATTTTTCAGTCATTCTTTGGTTTTGATTACACGTTGTAAATACTTTGCGCGTCGCGTACCGCAGTACCTGTTAAATTAAGCAAATTGTGTACACCTTTTCACGTTGGGGAGGATAACTCACATTATATCTTTATTATTCAGAATAGCTTTATAGTTCACAGTTATAGCAATAGCATTTTTATTAATACAATAAATATAATGAAGCGCAGCGTACCAAATACGCTTCTCAAACATGTGTTAATAAAGGAAATAAAGATACTTAAACAAAGTTATATTAAAAATTTATCTACTTTGTGTGTTAACGACAGTAATAAAGGTTCTGTCATGTTGACATTATTCTCGTTTTAATGATAAATGAATCTTGGATATTATTGTTTCTCGCGGCGAATTAATCAACTAGCAATTTCCGATTTGGTTATGACTTATTACCTCTCTCTAAAAATTGTGTTCGTAATCGAAACGTTTGTAGAGACTGCTTAATATTATATAATAGAAACATGAAATTAGCATATTTATTAATACAGTTAGGAAAAGATTTCTGCAGTGCAAAAATTTGGTTTTAAAGCACTCCAAAAATTGATGTACAGTATAATTTAATTGTTTGTGTTTATAACTAACTTGATGAAAACTGTGATCAAGTGCCGCGTCGCTTTTGATTTTCCATTCGACTTTTACTATCATGTTAATTAGACTTCGCGTTGATAATGCAAACGATGACTATTCAACAGTCGAAGGTTGGGGCAACGTAGCCGTATGACCGGTTCGACAGAGTTGCTATTAAGACCCGACGACTTTAGGACAACAAAAGCTTTTTACAATGTTAGAAATGTGTATGCTTTGTGTCCGCCATGTATAAGCAACGACCTTTTAAAGGAAATTACTATGACCGACATTCAGCTTTAAACTGTTTTGGAAATGTCGTAATAAGACGAATGCATAATTATAAACATTAACATGTGCGATGCAGTAATACTTTGAAATTCTTTTCGGACTTCACTGTCTGCATATGACGTCATATGCAATGCCTGTAGTACTACAATGTGATTGATTTACATAAATATATTGTTTCTGTGGCGCCCATACTCAACAGAATTAGCTTTGTTTGGAAGTTTATTTTAAGATTTTGACTGTACATTTATTTGCAATTTTAATTATTAACTCGATACATGAATAAATAATGTAATAATGGATGGTATGTATTAGTCAGTATACGCCTCATTCTATACTACGCTAACAACCACTACTATTACGATGACCTCCCTACAGTCGTTCCGCTTTCAAGTAACGGATCCTCGGATGAATGCTGATAGTCGGGCAAACTGAGCTGACTCCCCTCTCCAAATTCTTCTGCCAATTTCGCCCTCTCTCTCTCCTCCATGGCTTCCCTCTCCTTTTCCTGTTTCCTCTGTTCTTCGGGCTTAGTCAATACCATATCATCTGTAGCAATATTTTCTAGGATGTATGGTGTCACTACTCCTGGTGGAATAACAGACATCTTTTGCTGCCATTTCTTGGCAATGTCTGGTGTTGGAATAGTCGTACTCTTGGCCCTCGCTAACCAGTCATAAAATGGATTGACATCTTCAGTTGGGGCAGCATCGCTGGCATTTTCCACGGAAGGTGGCGGTTTAAGGAAACGAGTGAACGAATCAGGAATGACGTTTCTCCAACATTTCTCGAGAGCTTTGGAAATTTCGTAGAAGGATAAACCTGACTTGAGAACTAGCCGTTTTAATGGGGTTTCTTTTGCATCTTTTTTCGGATCTGTAGGTCGTATTTCCAGAAGCACTTCTGCCCATGGCAAATAGTCCGTCGCACAATTTTTCGGTTTATAGATTGCTTTGTCGCTCACGGCTGGATTTAGATTCTTTAATGTTTGTCCAAAGAGGTCGAACGTGAGTTTGACTGATTTACTGCTACTGGTGGAACTTGTGGATGAGGATGAGGATGAGGATGTGGATGTAGGCATGGATGTCGATGTGAACGTAGGTGTGAATGTGGGGTGTACGGGTGCGAATGTGGATGTCGACACGGATGAGAATGTAGAGTTTGTAAAATGAAGAGGCATCCCCATTGGCATTGGACTAAGCTTGGGAGACGTCGACGGAGACAGTGGAGGAGAAAGTCCCTCATCCATCGGAACGTATTCTACGTTTATGTTCTCATGCTCAAGCATCCATTGGAGGATATCATGTCGTGTGCCGATGAATATGAATTTGGAGTGTGTGGGCGTTAGTATAATTCTTGTTAATTCTTGCGGAACGAACAGTCGTGATTCTGATTTTGCTGGATTCTCTATTAGAAGACAATAAGTCGTGTTAGGAACGTTCTATCCAACACTATTATGTAGCATACCGTTCTACGTACCGTAAGCAAACCCATATCTAATCGTTCCTTTTCCAGTCTTGCTCTGTTTCTTCATAGTTAGTAGTTTATGTAAGCCGCACTTGTAAGTATTCGGGTTTATTTGTGATAGTTATATTTTTCACGCAATGGGGATGTATTTATATTGTTGTTAAAGCACCACGTGTCCACCTGCTTACCAAAACGACAACGCCACAAAATGAACACAAGAATATGTCTCGGTTATCCCGTTTTCTATTTTGATTATCACAGAGAGAATCAATAAAAAGCTTAATACTTCCTATAGGTTGGACAAACTTTAAATCTTTTTGTCAGTATGAATGTTATATTCTTAGTAACAAATATTACTTGTTTATCCGATAACGTTTTACGCTATTCGATTATAGAATCATAGAGAATAGTGATACACCATTACTGTAACACATGACATGGGAATTTAAAATAAATTTCGACAATGAACGTACGTCCAACATTCACTCGGCAGTTTGAGAAATTCCATGGAATCATTATTGAGCTCGGCGTTAAGAAATGGCACTAGGTTTAATTTAGCATTCCATTCGCTTCAGTGTGAGATTTCTTTACCGCAGTACATACAGTGATCATAATATAAAGCGCAATTTATATTTGACTAATTTACTTATTATTATTGGCTTATAATAATACATGTTTGATGGATTGCTTTTTTTAGAGTTGAAGGCATGAGTGCGTAATATTTCCAGATAGGTTAATACTAATGCAAATTTAGAACACTTTCACATTGAAGAGATTTGAATATTGTCGATCAAAAGCTTGAGTAAGTGCTATCGGTCTATCAAATGATCATTAACGCCAATCTCTTCCACTTTTGAATTTAGAGTTGGCCTTGGATGAGTGCACATGTCCCACAGAGTGTCATCATCACTCCCCACTAATGATGGTCCTCGGGCCGACATTTGATATCTGATATTCTTCTTTTCATGATAAAGTATCCTACTTAAGGGTTATCGCATTTCTAGACTAAAACCTTTCCGGCCCGTTACCATATATGTAGAAAGTGAAATAATGGAAACCATAAAAGGGTGGTCCCGCATTCAAGTTCTAAACCTGTTCTTGGTTGTGAGTGCTTCTAAGATGAAAGAATATGTGGCACTCAACATATACCCCATAAGGTTCCTTTGCCGCTTATCACTTGGAACAACATCTCACCGCAGACTGCGTCGGATACTATTATTGGATGTTACTACGTTCCAACAGTGACGTTTAGACATCATAAATTGAATAGCGTGATATCAAAAAATGGTTGAAGGCAAAGTAGTGAATAACGCGGACTATTTGCAAATAATTACTGCACTTTTATAGCCGTGATTTTGGTCTGTATATGATTTATTGTTACAGACGGTAGACTATTAATGACTAAATACATCACTAAGACATTGAACTGTGACTATCATTTTGTTATGATGTATAGAACTAATTATAATAATATAATTGATAATAATACGGCAAATTTTCGTGTAACGGCATAAATTTTGGCACATTCCAAACATCTCTTTAATCCGAGAAATATTATAATGCTGGTCTATCAGCCATTGAAAAAAGCAAGTCGATCTGTCTTCCATCACGTGTTCTCGATTAACCAGCTGGCCTATAATATTCTCGTGTCACGGATGCATCTGTGACGCGTTGACGGTGTTTTCGTCAAATACGCCTTCTCCATCACCCCGCTACAAAACTCATGGTTCTCTTCAACGACGCGACGTCCGACGAGCGTGGGCTGTCCCAGGATGTCCTTTAACATTTCAGAAGTTATGGAAGAGAAATACGCCATCAACGCCACCATCAGAATTGCCGTCAACGATAAAGGAATACAATCGGAAGCCGCGGCCTCAGCTAGAGGAGTTCACCTGCTGAATCCTCCGAATCAAACCTAAGAAATGTATGAAGAGGTCAATGTTAAATATCACGTAGCTACTGGCCGATACTACATTCTCGTCGATAGCAGTTCTTGTCTTCGGAAAAAGACATTGAATTGCGTAAACTTGGCCCTTAAAGCCTTTTTTTATTATAACGCAATTACAAATTTTTCTCGTAAACTATATCCCAGCCATTGGTTTTCCTTATCCTTCATCGACGAGGCGGTGGACGAGGCTGGAGACATGTGCATTTTAGTACACACTATGATGCATCAAGATTTTTCAATGAAATGAAGATCTCACTGCTATATCTCCACACTCATTTCTACGCGTCATACCTACACAACCAATCGGCGTACATGGCAAGAAAGAAACCCCGCATCATCACAAAAAGCAAGAGAGACCTCCGACCTTTACATTTCGAACCGGGACGTGAACGGGTTATGAACATTGGGGCTGAACAAAACCCTGTATTAAACTTGGTCCGAAATCTGGAACTTCAAGCATTCATTATACTGACAACTTATTAAGGAGCTCTGTGCTATATAAGCGTATAAACACTAAATCAAATGGAAACTAGGCCGCAAGATCAGAGTGTATGCTTTTGCCGCTTCTGACAATCTATTTCATGAAACAAACAAGAACACAGTCATAATCGAAAGGCTTGAGAAGTTTGTTAGAAAATCATTCGACATCTACCAAACTTCAACTGGGCAAAAGGAAAACACTTAAGCCGGTGCCAACAGAGATCGAACCGTTTTACCAAATAATCCTGTTTGAGAACATATTAATATTTTTAAATAAAACAAAACAAAACAAAATAAAATAAAACAAAACAAAATAAAATAAAACAAAATAAAATAAAACAAAACAAAACAAAATAAAATAAAATAAAACAAGATAAAATAAAACAAGATAAAATAAAACAAAATAAAATAAAACAAAATAAAATAAAATAAAATAAAATAAAACAAAATAAAATAAAACAAAATAAAATAAAACAAAATAAAATAAAATAAAATAAAATAAAACAAAATAAAATCCTGGGCTTATTTTCACATAAGAATATCTCGAACGGTTCCGGCAGGCGTTCCCTATGCGATATGTTCAGAGCTTCGGTCAGGGCGGAGCACCATCTTGGTGCGAAGAGAATGGCGCAGTATGACGACGGTGTCGTATCTGTCCCTCCCTCCTCAGTTCCCTGGTTATGTGAAGAGTCCTATGAATAGGCCGATGTCGCTGTATCTGTGGGGCCCGAGTCGTACGGGGAAGACTATGTGGGCCCGGTCTATCGGGCTATGCCTGGAAAAATCATCGATGGTAAGTCTTTGGCTTTTCACTTACTGACTTAGTAAGGATGATGTTGCCGTCACATGTATTGGCATACGATGCTGGACTTGGCCAGCTGGGATGACGAGGCGTTGTATCTGATTCTGGACGACTTTGAATGGGAGTTCACGCTGACGGACAAGTACCCGGAAGAAGAAGACTGTCCGTTACTGTTACGCACCCCCTCTGTGACATGTACCCTTTCGCATTGTTTAACAGTTTTGAGTTGTGTAATAACGATTATGATTAATTTTTAAATTTATTTCGGAACAATGTAAATATTAATCTATTATATATCTCCTCCATCAAATTCGTCTATCTCGGCCTCTTCTTTATTATCATTATTACCATAATGCCGTGATATCTCATTATTAATATCGTCATCGTCATCGTTGTCATTACCAAATTCGTTGTATTCAGTTTCATGATTATTATTTGATCTATTATCAACAAACTCATCTATATTATTATTGAACATGTATGCATCATCTTCAGAATGCTTATCAGGTTCTTCTTCTATATCGTTGTAATTGGTATCGCGTACATCATCTGCACCGTCGTTGTCGTAGATGGTATCGCGTACATCATCCGCATCGTCGTCGTTGGAACGAGTATCGCGTACATCATCTGCATCGTCGTCGTTGGAACGAGTATCGCGTACATCGTCTGCATCGTCGTCGTTGGAACGAGTATCGCGTACATCGTCTGCATCGTCGTCGTTGGAACGAGTATCGCGTACATCGTCTGCATCGTCGTCGTTGGAACGAGTATCGCGTACATC